TGAGTTCGGCCACATTCGGCTATCGGGGGATGCGTACAAGTTGTGAGTGCACGTGTCCCCCAAAAGCCGAAGGTAGCTGAACGCAAGCTACTCGCACGCATTTGTAATTTAAGTAGTGTGTGTGTCAGCTCGCTGTGAGTCGTCTAACAACACTGAATAAATTATCATTAATTACTTAGCAGTAAACATTTCATTTTTTTCTTCGTCGATATGTTATTTTATTATTATATATTATTATCTGCCGATATATTGGCCAGGGCGCAATAATATTTGTTGTGGGTCCTGAGAATTTTATAAGGTCCTGAGAATGGAGGAGATAATTTACGTGTATTAGGGTATTGAAATTCTTCATACATTACTAAATCACCATATTTTAAAATTACTAGGTTTCATAAATGGGTATCATATCCTTTCTTTATTTACATTATGTGATAATCCCTCAGATCTCTTTTTGAGACTATTTTTTCTAGCTTCTTTCGATTGACGGATACACTTCTTGATTTTGAAGTTAAGGGGAATCATAAGGCGATTTGTACACATAAATCAAATATGATGGAGGGAATTTTGTTACAGAATGAGTGGTGTATTATTATACTCTTCAGTTACTTGGGGTAATAATTTTGTCCATGCTATATTACCTTGATAAGAATTTAGTTTACATTTTAATCTAGTTATAATAGTTTGATTAATGCGTTCAATTTTACCATTAGTTAGGGGTCTATTTGCAGTAGTTAGCAATTGTTTTACATTATGATTCCTTAAAAAGTGCTTAAATTTTGAAGATGTAAAAGCAGCGTTCATATCACTTAAAATCTTTTTAGGGACCTGAATTTGGAAAATTTGTTCTAAGCAATTTATATAAGTATCTGTAGTTAACTTTTAGAAGCAAAAGTCCAGATATATCTAGTTGCATGATCAATAATTATGTGAATATACTTTTTAGTAGAATTATAATAATTTAAACCACCTACAGTATCAATAAATAATATTTCAAAAGGTTTACTAACTGATGGTAAATTTTGCATTAAACAAAATTTCTTTTGTTTACTTTTCTTATTAAACTGACATACTTCACAATGTTTACAATAATTTCTAACATCTTGAACAATTCCTGGCCAATAATATTGTGGAGATAACAAATTTAGCATAGATGATACACCAATATGACCAAGTTGTATATGGGCCTTTTCAAGTAATTTCGTACGTAGAGACATAGGTATTACAATTTTTTACAATCCCTTTTTTTTTTTTTTTTTTTTTTTTATAGTTAAGACATCATTCATTTTCCTATACTTAGTATTTCAAAAATTATCTAAATTTTGATATTGTTTTATTTCTTCTAATGATAATAAATTAACTTGCAATCTTAAATGTTGACACATAGGATAGATAAACATTCCAGCTCAGTAATGGCATAATTTTGTTCATAAGATCTTAATTTTCTAGATTGAAAAGCAATTGGATGTAAACTACCATCAGGATGTTCTTGTTTTAAAACAGCACCAACAGCTTCTTTGGACGCATCAACAAATACATGACAGGGATATTTAGGATTAAACAAAGTTAAAATAGGTCTAGAAATCAATGCATCTTTTAATTTTTGAAAAGCTTTTTGACATTAATCAGTCCAATTATAAGGAGTATCTTTCTTAAGTGTAATGGGGGCTCTAATTTTAGCATAATTTTGAATAAATTTATGATAAACATTAATACTTCCTAAAAATCTTTGTAATTCTTTGATATTTTTAGGGGGTTGCAATTTCTTAATAACCTCTATATTTGCATTACTGGGCTGGTATTTACCTGCTTGAATTTCATATCCTAGAAAATTTATTTTTTCTTTAGCAAAATTACATTTAGATTGTTTTAATTTTATATTCTCTTTCTCACATATATCAAATATTATTTTAAGATGATTTAAATGTTCAGCAAAATTTGGAGAGAATACTATAATATCATCAAAATAATTTAAAGGAAATTGAATCTGATATTTGTTTAAAATTTGTCTAAGAGCTCGTTGGAAAACAGCTGGGGAATTTTTCCAACCAAAAGGTAATCTAGTAAACTCGTACAGTCCAAAATTTGTAGTGAATGCCAATTTGTCAGTATCCTTTTCATTTAATTTTATATGCCAATAGCCTGATGCTAAATCCAATGTAGAAAAGATTTTTGCATTTGTTAATTGATCTAAAACAGCATCAATTCTAGGAATAGGTTCAGAATCAGTTTTAGTAATTTGGTTAAGCTTCCTGAAATCAATACACAATCTGCTTCTGGACTGCTCGTCTCGCTTATAAGCTAAAGTTACAGGAGCAGCATAAGGACTATAAGAAGGTTTAATAATTCCAGCTTTTAACGATTCATCTATTTGTTTTTTTATTTCACTATTATCTTTAGGAGATGCTCTATATGGTCTATAGGCTATTGGTAATTCAGAAGTTAATATAACTCTGGGAGGTTCAACCCTTATACAACCAACATCATATTTACTTTTTGCAAATATATAGTATAATCATTCAACAATTTCTGTAATTTACTATCAGAATTTTTACTATTTTCAAAATAATTACCACAATTTTTAGTACTAAGATCATTTTTACATACGTAATTATTTTGGAAAAACTTGTCTACTTTAACATTTTTACTTACCTGTTTTCCAAGCTGATACACTTCATAATTATGAAAATTCAATTGTAATTTAAATAATGAAACACATGGTGATGAAAGCAATAAATAATTCAAATTTGAATCTACTACATAAAATATCACATTATTTTCTATTTTACCTACTTTACACTTTACTTTGATTATTTTCTCTATATGAACTTCATTAGATATTGAAAATATTTTATCATGAGATTTCACTGAAATTTCTCTAAATTTATCACCAATTTTGTTAAAAAAATTTTACGGTAAGACGTTAATTTGCGATCCCGTATTAATAATACTGGGAATTTTTTCCTGTCCATTTTGGACATACACTTTAAAGTAATATCATTTTTTAACTTCTCTTTTAGGAACTGTGTTAGAGTTTATAGCAGGTAATTGTGGATATCGAATTGGCCGATACGCATACTGTAGAGGTCGGTATTGCACTTGTTGATAATTGAAAGGTCTCACACTACTAAAACTTTGATAAGTAGTGGATTACACTGGCCTGGGATAATAGCACCTCGGAACAGTTTGCCTTGGAGAAACAAATTGGTAATTTACTATTTTCCTAGACCATCCAACGGCATCTGAACTGGAAACAGTTTCCTAGCAAGAGTAATCCAGTCTTTCGGTGTGTCTATTTTTTGCACTGTTAACAGCATTCTTTGAGACTCAGGAAGTCCTTCCGTAAGTGCTTCCACCATTGTGGAATCTGTTAGTTTCAAGCTGGCTCCTAATTTCAACTTATTACGAAAATTAACATCATTATTATTAATTTCTCGTATTTTAAAGACACAAAATCACTAAAGGTACACAGATTCCGATGTTGTGAAGTATGTCTCGAAAATATCCTTTATGTTGTTCCAGTCTTTATCTAAACAATCACGTAAATAGAGGGCTAAAGCCTCTCCTCTCTCTAATACACTCGGAGAAAACAAATTTCTTTCCTTTTCTGGAATGTTCTTTGCGGCACATTTCTCTTCAAACAATAGAAGATATTTGTCTATTGGAAAATTTGTACTTGTGCCGTCAAAAATAGGGAATTGAAATTTCACTGTATCCACAATAGCTACGGATTCTTGCTTATCAGTTGACATTTTGCCGTTTTTGAGCATGTTAGCATTCCAATCACAAAATTTTGAATTTAAGAGTTCGCATACACATCAATTTGAACACTAAAATCAATCACTTTAGAAGCACATGATAAAACGCATAACTTTGGAGACGAGGGAAAGCACTTGAGCAATCGCCGGGAAAAGATGCAAAAGCATAAGACGATCACACACTGTCCTTAACCCACTGTTGAATTTAGAAGCGGGTTAGAAATAAATCCAGGAGCTTTTTTCCCATGTAGAGGATATATCCTACCAGCTAATTAATAACTGTAATGTTTTCAGTTATTCCAACACATCGTAGGCGAATGGTGAGGCTATTCCATTACACGTTCTGGCAGATGGTTGATGAAGTTGAGATGATTGAAGCACGGAGGAAAATGATGACTCGGGACTTTTTACTTTTAACAGCAAGCATATCTTTTTTAATTTAGAGCAGAATGACTTTTTCCAGATGGAGTTAATCAAATAACTTATTCAGTAATTGAACTATGGATATGACTAAACTTTAATATGTCATAACGTTCTAACAAAGAAAGAGGAGCATAGCGGAAGCGTTAGCAGGACGAAGGCGTGAAGGCATCTGTGTAGAACTTATGACGCAACATTTATATGAAAGGTTATGTAACAGAGTAGCTTCTAGAAAAATGTAGAAAAACTTATGACGCAGCATTTATATGAGGAGGTTATGTAATAGGCGCGAATGTTCTAGAAGGTAATGAATGGTCTAAGGGGAGATGCTGAATTGCAGAAAATTAATTAAAGGTTGCTGGTTCGCAAAGAGCAAAGCCATCGTATTTTATAAATATTTTACATATATATATAATATATATATTAATAATTTGCATTTATAATATTAGGCTGTTTTGAAGGTGCTGCTGGTATTCTTTTCAGTTTTATGTGTCAAATGGAGTAGTTGTATTTTTTACATTTTTTAAAAATAACACCCAGATAGGAATGTCAAATTTATCAGCATTATTGAACACCCAGATAGGTACCAGGATTTACTAAGAAAATAGCTCATTTGTATGATTATGTATGATATTATTTGTATGATTATGTAATTATTGAAGTTAGTGTTACTTGGGACAATATAAGTACTTTTTTAAAAATCTTATGTTGTAATATAGCTTTCACTTATTTATATCTTATTTATAGCTTTATTATTTTATCTTATTTGTACATTATTCATGTCTTTAAATTCAGATCTATATGTATTACCTATTTATATTTTAGGTATCTGAATGATCTGTATACATTAGAATTACGTTCATATTCAAATGCTATGATGTGGGATATTCCTCAGTACAGTGGTCAACCACCCCCACCTAGAGAATCTCATACTGCAGTTGCCTATACTGGAAAAAATGATAAGCATGCTAGATTAATTGTTTATGGTGGAATGAGTGGGTGCAGACTTGGTGATCTGTGGCAGTTAGATATAGGTAATAAAATATCATTTTTTGTGTGTGTGTTTAATATATAGCTATATTGTTACTATATATTATTTTGATTATACAGTGTGACAGAAAGTCACTTTACATGTGCAGTTGTTTCATTTTAGCATTAATAAACTTAATGTTATTTCTCCAAAGTGTCTGTATGTGCAACACCATTATTCCTGTATAGGCTTAATGGCCCTGCCTCATCTGATTTGGTAGCTATGATGTCACTTGCAGGAAAGCTTCAAGCACTCTTGCCCGTAGAGCATAATAGTCCATGTATCACTTCTTCTATATATATGCTGAAGTAGGGTGATTTGATATAAATTACCTTGTCTAGTGTCGTAAGGTCAGGACTTCAAGGTGGCCAAGGATAAGAGGCTGTTGAATCCGAAACACTTCTCAAGGGAAAAGCTTTCTTTTTCTACGTGATTAAAATTTAATGATCTGGTGGCTCCTTATGGCAAAACCTATCCATAATGTATGTGGTATTTTCATTGTTATGATTCCGTTCATGGACCAACATACTTGTCACTAAGCGCTTGTTCAAAGTTGATAATGTCTGCCCTTGTTGTCAAGCCCAGAAAGATAAGACAATGAATTAGTAAGAGCTCAGACTTAATTCTTTTTCTTGGCAGTTACATGGTAAAAAAAATTGAAAAAAGATCTTCAAAACTGCATAACCTTAATCTGTAAAAAATTGCCAAGTTAATTACGAGTTTATTTTCTTCACTTTTGTTAATCTGATACTCTCATAGTGAAAATTGTTTCTTGTTTTGTTTAAATTTCTTGCTCTTTTTTTAAAAAAATATTAGTTAATAAATAATATGAAAGTAAAAAATATCCTTCTTTCCATCTTGCGCTCAAAAATTATGCGAGTATCCTTTCACAACTATTAAAGCCTGAAAAACGCATGTTTGTGGCGTTATCGTCATGCGATGATTTGTGAACGTGATGAAATTTGGTATGCAAAAACATCTTTATCGAACAAATGATAAAAATTTCAGGGCCTAGTGCGTAGTGCGCAAAGTACAAAGCCAGTAACAGAGGTGGAAAATTTATCTTTTTTTGTTGCTGCCATTGTAATTCTGTAAAGAAGCAACTAAAGATGCTATTACGACGATATCGAAGACCTTACAGACAACTAAACGACTTCGAAAGTGGTAGCATTATAGCATATAGTCGTGAACAGGTGCTATGACCTTGATTTGCAAGCTGTTTGGTCATACCGAGCAATAGGCTGCCACCTGCAGCTTACAGACACTGCTGTGCAAAGATGTTGGCAGCAATGCTTGCTACAAGGAAATTGCCAACAAAATGAAGGTTTTGGAAGACCAAGGATCACAAATGTGAGCCAAGATAGGATGATTGTTCGCCAGGCTGAACTGCTCCAATGGTATCATTGTTGACTATTCAACGCACTACAGCTACGCCTATATCTCCCATGGTACTGTCCACCATCTCACGGCGCTTGTCTGAGGCAGGGTTACACTCACAGAGGCCTCTAAGACAGTTGCCTTTGACCCCAAAGCATCGACGGAGTCGTCTGGAGTGGTGTCGCAGCTGATTATCATGGCTGCCATCAGACTGGCATCGTTGTGTGTTCATCAATGAATCCCTCTTCACTCTTGAAGCAAATGACCACTGTGTTCATGTCTGGAGAGGACGGAGCCAGTGGTCCCAATCAGCCTTTGTTTTACAAAGGCATACAGCCATGACCCTAGGTGTGATGGTGTGGGGTGCTATTTCTTATGACAGCAGGCCATCTTTAGTCATCTTAGTACATCTTTAATTGCTCAACGATATGTTGATACCATCTTGCGCCTGCTTGCATTACCCTTCATGGCACGTCAGGGGCCATTTTCTAACAAGATAATGCCAGGCCACATACTACTCGCCTATCTCTGTACGGTTGATACTCTTCCTTGACCAGCAAGGTCACCAAACCTTTCACCAATCATCAAGCATAGATTCGAGAAGCACATAGTATTGCAGATCTGGAGCGACATCTGATGAATGCCTGGTAGAATGTGTCACAGGATTACATTAGAAACCTGTACCACTCCTTGCCTTGACCAATTCAAGCCTGCATTGCAGCCAGAGGCGATTTGACTAACTACTAATTTGAACCCTCAATGGGTGATTGCAAGTCGTGAACAGGTGCTATGACCTTGATTTTTTGATCATTTTATTGTATGTGTATGAGCGATACACATATTCAGTTTCATCAAAAACAACCACTTCCTTCATGTTGCTTTGATCCCCCCCCCAAAAAAAAAGAGTGTATACAAAACCTTTCTTATTTTGTCTGTCTTACAAACAATGATCATTTTGGTTTGTTGCAATCGTTTATTTAGGTGAGCTTCATTAAGTTGACTGTTCCATTCATGTGATCCTTTCTCAAGTCTGTATAAGTTCTTTGCAAACTTGCATAATTTTTAATAACCTTTTTCAGAAATCCATTTATAGGGTCCTTAAAAGTCCTTAGGTTTTTTTGAATCAATTTTTGGTCCGTAAAAGTCCATAATTTCGTTGAAAATCGGCAGAAGATCCTTAATTTAATCATCTGAAATTTCTGTCTGATTTTAAGACTTGATTTTAAGACTGCTATTTTGAGTGTGAATTAGCATTTTGGAGGAATATTTTTGGCAATTCACTGATAACTATGGTTATCTTTTGAATAGGTTCATGGGTAATAATTTGTTCCTGTTTCTAATATAAATGGTGGAGCTTGAGTTTCTGAGCAAGAAACATAAGCATTTCAAAATTATTTAATTTTTTCTAATGAAGAGCTCTTAAACAACTTTTGGGAATGTGAATTCTTTTATTAAACACTTCTAAATTAGGCGACTTAACAACATTTTGGCGATTTTAAGATTAGTTTCTATAGAAAATTTTTAATTCCGAGATTTGAGAATTTGTCAACAATTTTTTCAATACATTATAACATTGATAAATTTCATTAAAATAAAGGTAATATATTGCAGTTATATTTAGAAAATAACATTGAAATAAAACATTTTTATTTTTTGCTGTCATACTATTAAGTTCCATTTTGGCAACATATTATACTATATTTTGAGTCTGAAAAATAAACAAGGTACATTTAAATAAACAAGGCTTACGAACAGTTCTTAGCAAAAGCAGCTATGTAATTAAAAATGTCTTTTTAATTTTTTCATGGTAATAGTTTTTTCCATGTAATTGTCTCAGAATATGTATCAGTTTTCTCTATAAAATTAATTTTACATTTTTTCCTTGTCTGATTTATTTTCCAAAATATTTGTGGCTTTTTGCTGTTACAGAATTGGCAGGGGTAATTTTTCTTTTAGATTTGAAGGCAAGATTTATAGACCTACGATTCTAGAAAATGTGACAAAAAGAAAACATGATATTTGGATGTTTTACTTCTGATACTAGAATCTTTTTCTTAACATGTTTATCTTCCCTTTGTTTTCTTTATTGCCATTTGCTTGTAGGTCCTTAATGTTTTTTTATTAATGGTCCTTAAAAGTACTTAATTTCTGTGTGCAGAAATGTGTACGAACTTTGCATTTACTTTATTCATGTATGTTTTTTTACACCAGTTCTTCATTTCAGTATGCTGATTGAATATCATAATGTAAAACACTGACATAGGTACCAACTTTTACTAAATCCTCTGTAGCTTTATGATTTTACACTTAGATTATTTTTAGGAATTTGTAAAGATGTTCTATTAAAGGTGATTGATAGGCAATTTTTTTTTTTTTTTTTTTTTTTTTTTTTTTTTTTTTTTTTTGGGAGGAGGCACGTTTTTAATAAGAATTTTATTTCGTCTACTGCCAGATTACATGGAAAAGTATGGTAACCCTGTCATTTTTTGGGATTACCATTGTTACCATGTAAATAGACAAATCCATTCTGTCTAGTTAGAGAAGAACTGTTAGATCATTTCATCATTTCTTCTTCCTTTTACTGTGCATGGCCAGATTTGTCAATATTTGAATTTTTTTTGCGAATTTTGCGGTTTTCAAAAAAAATTAATATTGTTACAACGTAATTAAAAGTTCTGATGTTGTAATAAAATTATATAAAATTAAAGCGTCTATCAGTTCACTTTCTTGTTATTCAAGTATCTGACCTTCATATTTGGCAATTTTATTTCCAACCTTTTGTCAAACTGAGAAATGTGATATGAATTTGCAATTGCTAAATATATCAAGTAGTGTCAAATGTTGGCACAAGGTTTATTATTATTTTAATTTTGTATTAAAAGAATCATGCAACAGGGTTGCCACGCTACCTGGAAAACCTGGAGAACCGGGAAAAGTCAGGGAATTCGAAAATTGACCAAAATATTCAGGGAAATGTCAGGGAATTTAAGTATTTTTGTCAAAATCTGGAAAAGTCAGGGAAGTTCATACAACGATCCCGCCAAAAAAAGCGATTTTTGCGCCGACGTCGGAAGAGATACTTTTTTGGCGAATTATGTATCACGTGAGTGTCATTCGGGTAGCTGGCATAGAGCCAATTTTCGCAGCTCCAATTTGATTGTCTTTTAGAAAGGCAAAGCAACTTTCCCGCAACTTTTGGTTTCCAATATTCTCGAGAATCGCATGTGCATGCATGAACTAAAGAAAGTACCTGTTCTCGTATAAACAAAATGGGTTTAATCCTAGTATACGGTACCATGGAGGTTAGAATCAAAGAATATGTATTGTAAAGAAGGAAAACCTCTCTGCAACAGACGTGGCTGTGGCTCCGTTCCATCATAGAGGGAAACAGCTGTGCATGTCTGATATATCTGTTGCCAAAGCTCGAAACCGGTGTCGAAGTTCGAAGGTCACGTTATCAAGAGTTCATAAAATGAATATCGTTTAAAATTTCTTTAACCACTTGCGCTTAAAAAGACGTGCCACGCACGTCAAGATGCTTTTGTCTCAAACCGCGAGCGACGTGAACACCACGTCGATAAGCATTTATCGCAAAAATGAAAATAACGTGGTGCGCACGACGCGTAACAACAAGATTGTTTATTTCTCGAGTTACAGCTCTGGATTGCACTCGCAGATGCGGAGCGGCGTAAATGAGACACTTTACGGCTTGTTATATTGTAGCGCACGGCACCGCAACCGTGAAGTTTAGTCTTAGCCGCAAGTGGTTAAACTCTAATGGAAAAGAAAATATTTTTTGGCGCAAATAAATTAATTCATGGATTAGTTATTTTCAGGGGAAAAACAAACTACGAAAATCCGTTTTTAAAATTATTGCGAAAAATCCAAGAAGAAACGTCCTTTGATAAAACGTTTCTTCTTGGATTTTTTCGCAATAATTTAAAAACGGATTTTCGTAGTTTTCTTTTTGTCAAAAAGCGTTTCTTCTTAACACGTGTTTCTCAATTTCCTGTACACATCGCGGAGAGGGAAATTCTGGTCGCCAAATCCCTTGGCAAATTTTCCCTCCGCATTCTAGCGGCGTAATAGCATTTTACTTGTATGGAACCTTTTCTTCTTTACATAGACGTTCTTTGGTTAGATAATAATGGGATTTGGCGACATCTTGATGCGCAGTAAACGGGTCATTTTGGTCTTGACGGCAATTTTCAAAATCGTGCCAAAGCCTTACCGTATACTAGAATTTTACCGCAAAATCTTTTTAAACCTTTTTTTTTTTTTCTTTTTAATAAATACCTTGCCACTTTGCAGTAAAATAAAAAAATAGTAATCAGTCATCTAGGCTAGCCATGTAATATAACTATATTCCCTAAAATATCGTTGATTATTCTAATTCAATTTTTAAGTAATTATTTTTATGTTATTCATATAATTTAATGTTGCTTCTTTCCCTCTAAATTTATTTATTATTAGTAAATAATATTTCCAAATTTCAGGAAATTTTCTCTAGGCATAATCCTGAAAATTAATTATAGCAGTATGATGACATACCATCACGAAATTTAATGCACATATTTTTTCCTTATGTATGCTGCGAAATAAATATAAAATACTTCAATTTATTAAAATAGATTTCTTTCTTTCGTTTAGCTGCAGAATGTCTGCAAAAAAAGCCTATTTTATTCCAGATTGGGAAGATTCTAATCTCAATCTTCAGTGGAGAAAACAACAACTATTATAATTATATTTGTGTTTTCAAGTGTTAAGGTGCCTTTTAAGAACATACCTCACGCAAATTAAATTTACCTAAAATCTAACCTAACTATTTAGCATTGCGTTGTGATTTATAAGGACCGGATTAGCCTCGTGTTAAACTGGTGATGATCATGAGTAATAATTAAATAAAACATACATTTGTTATCCAATATATATATCTTAAATTTTATTAAGTTTCTTAAGTGGAAAACTAAACAAAATTATCAAACAAAGTATACCAAGAATAATTAAGAATAAATGTCCTCTGGGATTTATTGAATAATTAAGTGAATTTGCTACACAATACAAGTAATACCATAATTAATTTACCTCTTAGCACAGCCAACGTACATTACGTGGATAGACTGGAATTTTCTTGAAACACACCTGGAAAAGTCAGGGAATTTCATTCTCCTGTTTGAGTGGCAACCCTGATGCAAGTGAAATACTTATGTTGATTGCTACTTATGCGGATGTGATTTTTATCATATCTTATGTTGAAAATGTAATATTGTAAAGCATAAAAAAAAAAAGAAAAATATATATATATGTTGAAAATTTGAATAAAAATCACAAAGTCTGTGATTTTTTTTCGAAAATCTGTTAATTTTGAAGTTATTGTTATTCAACAAAATGTCAGTTTACTCCATTTTTGATTGAACCCAATAACTGAATGCTGCAGATCATCACAGTAGTGTGCTGAATGCTGCAGTCGTTTGTGAAGTAAAATGTTTCCCGATTTAGATCTAGCAAAGAAATAGTAGTTGATCAAAAACTTCTGCCATTCTTACCAATATAGCAAACATTTATCAAAAAGGCCTATTAATATTTTACAAAAATCTACCTTCTGCTCTGTTGATGAAAGCAATGAAAGTGATTATAAGTTGTATCCAATTCTTGAAAGTTATTTTAATAAGGTAAAGAATAAAAAAAAAAGTACTCTTTTGTACTTATAACCACCTAATTTAGTTAGTGATTCAACAGGTCAGAATATTTCAATGATAATTATTAATAATTTGAGTAAGTTAAGTATTCCTTCATCAAACTGTTTCTTTCTGTGCAGATAATGCACTAGATATGACTGCTTGTCGATAAGATTCGGTACTTTTCTGAAAAATACCTAGAAGAATTAATTATTACAGGTTGCCCATGTCACCTTATAAATTAAGCAGCAGAAAATGCAACTGCTACATTACCAATAAACATAGATCGAATTTTAACGAATGTAGTCTATTACTTAACCCAAATGGCATAACTGCATTTATCCAGTTTTGAGATATATATGATTTTTATAACTTTATTGTTTCAAATGTTTTGTTTTCTTAGTTACCTTAAGGATTAAATTATTATCTTAATCAATGAAAGTTAATGAAAATTTAGACTAAAACAATGAATTATGCTAATGTCGATAATAAATGCTGTTTTAATGCAGTTCCTGTATAAATGGTACATCAGTGGGTTAAAAAAATTCCTAAATGAAAAGAGAGTTAAAAAAACTTTTAACAGCTTCGTATGAGAAAAATAATAACGGGTATGTGCACGCGAGTTGGCTGTCTCTTGGTAAAGGATTGAAAAGGCTCTGTTCCCTAGAAAACCAAACTGAAGGGAGGAATACATTTTTCTCAATAAAAGAATGTTATTCATTTTTTCATCTCGCGTTTGTAAAACTTTTTTTTTACTATCAAATGTTTCTGACTTTGAAGAATTAAATATGCAAGTACAGTCTGCATCACTGAAGATTCACATTCTGAGGAAAATGCTTAAGATATTGTGGGAAGGACATGCCAGATTTGTCAAGCCTTCAGTAATAATAATCAGTTTTAAGACTTGACAGAAATTCCCTATCACCATTTGGAAAATCAGAAAGGAGGTGATTTGTGTATTGAAATTTGTATTAAAGACTTGCTAAAAAAGTTAAAATATGAAAGAAAAGAATTTTTTTGCATCTGTTTGACATAATTTTTAAACTGCATGTAATTACAACATCAGAAATTTTTCACTGAAAAAGTGAAATATTACATCTGGCAGAAATTTTTAATTTAAAATTAAATAATTTTTCTTTTAATAGTGTCTGATATATTTGTATAAATTCCCATTTTTTCTCACATAAAAAAAATAGAACAATGATATAGTGAGGAATGAATTGCAAAAAAGATTTACGACCCTACCCTGTATTGGGAGGAATGTGTTACAGTCTAAAGATGTTGGTATGAATGCTTTGGTTGATTTTATAGGAAAGTGTACTGTAGTAGGAATTCCTAAATAGGACAGGATCACTGAGTTCTGAAAGCTATACTAGCCATGCCTTATAGCAGTATGGAATGTGAGCACATTTTTGTCTCATCCAAAAAAAGACTAACTTCTGCTGTAACAACACACTTTCTTGAGAATATCTTGTTTGTCAAATATAAAGTGGATAATAAGTATTACAAAGCTGGATTTTCTGATTCCTTTCTAATAAAAGCAAAGTTAACTACTTTGAATGTGTTAAAAAAATGTGATTTTTATTAGTACAAAGTTGGCAGGTATTCACTAGCATGTTTTCCCCCCTCTTATAGTAAGAAGCTTCTCCTAAAGTAGTTGACTTAGGAATTTAGGAGCAAATATTTTAATCATGTCCATATTTGTTCTAATATCTTTAAACAACTAGTCTAGCTCTATAATAGCAATTATTTCCTTCACCATCTCCTTTGTTTTTGAATAACCTTAATTTTTTTCATTAATGGTCCTTTAAGGTCTTTTTAAAGTATTTAATTTTCATTGGCAGAAATGTGCACTAACCCTGTAAAAGTGCTTCAGGTTCTCAGTTCAGCTATCAAGAATAAATTGATATCAAAAGTGCCAGGTTACTGCATTATATGCAAGTATACTTATTATGTAGTATGAATTTATTTAAGTGATATTATATCAGAGGTTTTTAGTTTTTTAAGTTCATACTTTTTATACTATCTAGAAACAATGAGTTGGTCAAAACCAGTTGTTCAAGGTCTTTCACCTCTTCCTCGGAGTTTACATTCTGCAACATTAATTGGGCATCGAATGCTTGTATTTGGAGGTTGGGTCCCTTTAGTGATGGATGATAATAAAGCTGCCACCCATGAAAAGGAATGGAAATGCACCAATACCTTGGCATCTCTGAATTTAGGTTAGTAAAATTTACATTGTTTTTTATTTGACAGTATGTAATGTTCTTGTTATTTAAATGCATGTATGGCACATATGTCTGCCAAAACAGCTTTAATTCCATGAAAATCATCTAAATATATTGTATTTATATAACAGAAACATAGAGAAATTCAGTTTTCTGCACAATATTTTTTCTAGAGGTACATTTATTTCTAAATTACAGGCAAGTTTCGCAGCAGTCCTTACAAGTGCTTATAAGTCCTTATATTTGAAAATAAAATATAAGAACCCTTATAGGTGCTTACTTTTTCTCTTTTTTTTTTTTTTTTTTTTTAAATTGATATGCATTTTTTCCCCGTACCAAAGTTGAAGTTAAATAAACAACTTTTCTTTTCTTCCTTTATATAGAACGTCAGATGGTGAATCATACTCCTAAAAATAGCTCTTCCCCTTTCTGTGCATTAACATAAATTTGGTGCGCGCAAGTACAGACAGGTGCACGTCATTCTATTGGTCACAAAATTGTGAAAGTGGTAGAAAATTCTGGTACATTCCGTATTCTTTTCCTCCCACCCAAGACTACACATGCTTAGATTTATCAAGATTTTAATAATTTGCATTCTCGTTCCATGTGATCAGTTCATATTCCCATTTATTATGATTGTTATGCTTATATTATGAGCATATGTGTGGATATTTATAATAATATAGTTGCAGTAACTGCTGAAGTATATATAAACTTCAAAAATGGGTAAATGTGGTTTAAAGTAATATTCGGAATGGCTTAAATAAAGTGAAAGTAATCAGAATAGTCAAAATGATTTATTATTATTATATTTTTATTTATTTATTTATTTTAATTTTTTCCCCCAATTTATTTTACGGTACAAAAGATGGGAGGTCCTCCATTTTCTCCACAAAATCTCGAATATTGAAGCCATTACAGTTCGCAGACAAACAAGCAACATTTCTTTTTTTTAGTCACTTTCCAATCTTAATTTAATAGGACTAAAAGTTCTATTCCAGAATTTTTACGCAGTCTGTTCAAAATTAGAATGAAAAACACCCCAGATTGTAAGTCTTTCTTTTCCTTTATTTAGTTCTTTATTCGTCGAATACCGGCAGCTGTTGATTTCGATTGCGTTATATCAGGTATGGAAGAAATACAGTGCATGTATTGCGCTATTAGATTTGTGATATTTTGCGGAGATAATTAATTTTTCTGTTTAGTCTGAGATTTGTTTACGAGCACTTAAAAGAGTTTTACTATGCTTGCTAAGCAGAATATTTTTCAGTTCCGTTGGGCCATTTTTATATGATGCACATATCGAAATGTCAAAAGCATACCGTATTTGACGGCATATAAGACCCACTTTTTTTCCTAAATTTGGTTTCAAAAAAGTTACCTGCGTCTTATACGTGAAGGTAATTGCATTCAATAATTATTTATTTGGCTTTTACGAAACGTGAGATCTAAAAGAAACCACGCTATTGAAACTTTTTTTCCTTGTGTGTGGCCGTCTAAATAAGGGTGCGTCTTATATGCCGTCAAATACAGTAATTTAGCTGAAAAATCTAAAGAACGGCTACAATCTATGCCCTCCCCCCTAGGCTCCTCTTTTTCCAGTTACTCTCAACTATCTGGAATTTTCAGATATTCAGTAATTTTCTGGTATGCGGGCTAGTTATAGGCTTTTACTGTTAAAGGATGACTGCGTGAAGCAATTTCCCGTCTTCTGATTTCAGAAATGTTCCTCTTGTTATTTATTTTTAGTTTAATTACTTTGCCAGCAATATCTATTAAGGGAAAATTGTTATATGATAAAAATTTAGAAAACTTTCAAAATTTTGATTTAAGTTAAATTATTTAAACATTAATATGAGTGAAAAAATAAATTGTATTTATTATTAGGTACCAAGCGGATATAATAAATATGGCTTATTATTATTTATTTTCTCTATTTTGAACTGCAATTTCACCATTAAATCTTGTAATGTAGTTAGTTCTGCATAATTTTTTCCCTTTCATTGTAAACTAGTTCTGTAAATTGAACTGTTGTTTAAAATTTTAAAAAAGTAATTGTTTTTCATGGTTGAGTAATGCTCTTTCTCTCTTAATAAATACTGAATTTCTCATATTTTAAATTACAAGTCTAATTTTTCTTTTAAGGTTTTGCAGTCGTGTACAATGTAATTAGACGGGTGCTTATTTTTTTCCTTAAAATGTGCTTGAAAGCGTGCTTATAGTTGCTTATTTTTTTACCTAAAATGTGGCTACTAACCCTGATAGAGTTTTTTGGGGACAGGGTGTACTACTTGGAGCTATCTGGAGCTCTGTATCAGATGGAGTGTCACCAAATTTGACAGAGAGAATAATGACAAAATGTGGAAAAGAATTTATTAAAAAAAGTTACTGGTAAGGGAAAATATGACACTGTTCTAGTCTACACAGCTGAAAATTTTCATGAAACATAGGTGAAATTTTAAAATGCAAATGCTTGGTTACATAAATGACAGCAACATTAGTTATTCAATGTCTCCTTTTACCTCAGCACACATTACTTGTAAAGTTATTTTATCTTCAAGAATCGTATGCAACCTTAGTTCTTCCTGAATTTAGAAATTGTAACAATCTACATAAATACCTTCTGTCAAATAATTCATTGCAAGGCATGATTCAGAAGTTTGAAGAAACAAGATCTTTAGCAGTTTGTTTTGGTAGGTGGTATAAAACATTGTCAGAACAGACAGTTGATATGGCGACTGCAGTCGTTGACAGCACCCATAGGACCATTGGTTACCAGTGTCTAGAATAGTGTGACAGTTGGATTGGAATCTTTCAGTGCTATGGCATTCTTCACTTCTACACATACAAGATAACCCACATGCAGGAATTAAAACATGATGGTTATAATAAATGGGTGGCATTTGCTGTGACATTCCTCACCAGAATAAATGTTGGCGATGCTTGACTGTCTTAAATGGGACTTTCAACACTCACAGTTTTTGAATTTAGGCATTTGAATATTTCCATGCAGTGTAGGAAATACTATTGTATTCACCAAACGTCCCTGTTTGGTATGGCTGCACAACAGATTTCATCAGCAGATCTTTCTTTTTTTGAAAACATTATTCTAACCAGCAGATCTTTCTTTTTTTTTGAAAACATTATTCTAACACAATGTTTCTTAACCTTTCTAGCGAGACGCACCCCATTGAATCTGAAAATATATCTCCCACACCCCATTGAAAATTGAGTTTTAATTTTTTTAGTCTAGAAAAATACATTTTTTGCGAAACTTATTGTTTATAGAAAAACATTGTACATTTTATATAAATACAAAACAATATTATTTTTATTAATGACTAGTCTGTTGTTGTTTTTACATTATTATACTGGCAAAGCGAGGTTCTTTTTTGAAAGACATATGCGTAAGTCACCACTTGCATTTAAGCGATTTCTCGCTTTAGATTTTATATGCAAAAACGATGAAAATCCCATTTTGCACAAGTAGTTGGTAGCAAAAGGTAAGAGTAAATGCACTGCTCCGTTCGCCAATTCTGGATAATATTGTAACTGTGAACACCAGAATTGCTGCAGTTCTAATTGTTCGAATTCCATTTGAACATGTCCACTTTCTCGCATTTCAATAAGATTGATCTTTTTTCAGATCACTATCATCCATCAAATTAAAGTCAAATAGAAATGGATCCAGTATCCAATCCATCTCTGAGTTTTGGTAATATTTTCCGGTAGAAAATATCCATTGAATGATTCTCTCAATCGTCTCAAATGTATTACAATGCGGGTATAATTGTATTCTTTTCATTTTTCGCAATAACAGAATCAAGCAATGGAAAGTTTGCAAAATTTCCCTTTTCTACTCGATGTATCCAAATTTCTAATTTTACGATAAATGAAGATAATTTTTCACTAGATATTATAATATTTATTACCAAATCCTTGCACTTGATAGATTCAATTCACTTTAAATGGCTAAATATGTCTGCTACAGTAAGCCAGCCTCAGCATTGCAACATTAACTCTCAAAATCTTTTACTAAATAACAATTTTGACTAGTCAGTAATTGAATAATTTCCTCACCCAATTCAAAAACTCTGTTAAGCATGCGACCTTTAGATAACCATCGTATTTTGGTGTGATATAGGAACACGGTTATGATCAGCACCGATTTCTTCGCAAAATGCACGAAAAATGCGATGATTAAGCGCTCGTCGTCGGATGTATTTTACTATATTTACTGCTGTAGTTAGATGTTGTTTTAAACTTTCTGGCAATGCTTTCGACGCAAGTGCATGATGATGCAGCATGTAATGCGTTATTATAACTGCCGTTAATTCTCTTTTCATGCGTGAAAAAAATCCTGAATTTTCGCCTAACATTGCTGGGGCTCCATCAGTGGATATTGAGCCAATCACATTCATTGGTAATTGATATTTAGTAAAAAAATCTTTGATGCGATTGAAAATATCAATTCCTCTCGTATTTACCACCTCCAGTGGCTCACAAAATAGAAATTCTTCTATCACCTCTTTTTCCTTCACATACCTGACAAATACCAAAAGTTGGCTACAATTATCAACATCAGTTGACTCATCCAGTTGCATGCATATTTTCAGTGGACTGATTTTTACGTCTTCAATTACTTGCATTAAAATATCTTCACTGAGATCTCGTATTCGCGATCGTATAATATCATTCGATAATGGAGAATCTGTTGGATTGGATTTTTTTTATGTGCTTCCGAATCTAAAACTGTTTTAGCAAATAATTAAAGCAGAAGGTTTAATATCAACTCTTCAGCAATCGTGTGAGGGTTTTTTTTTTTTTTTTCACATAAATATGCTACTTGATATGACGCTTCTAAATAAAGGATATGACGCTTCACATAAATATGCCACTTGATATGACGTCTGCATAATTTTAGGATAGTTTCCACTGGTATCAAACCGAGCCTTCTTTGACTCCAAGCTGTTCATGCTATGCGCTTTTTCGCC